ATGCATCCAGGCAGGGGGATACATATAGGAAAGATGGGTTTAGGCTTGGCTGCCATCTGATCTGAACATCTCACGACCGCATGCTGGCTGTGTTGAAAAATACTCGGAAGGAAAAGCCCCATGCTTGCCCATAATTGCAGTCAGTGCTTGGCTTTTTTTCGTCTGAAGGGGTCCACATACCATCACCCCTGTAGGGAAGAAGCATGACTGTCGTCGACCCCTACTTAACGGTTCATGGGTGCACCATTCAGCCATATGGAATGGGCTTTTGGGGGGGTTGGGGGCTAGCATTCTTTTTGTGTTTTTGGGGGGACCTTTGTTCCACCCGGCCCATGTACCATCGCCCGCGTAACCCAGTGTTGACCACCCAACCCACATGCTACCATGCACTCCACATACTATGGCCTGCCACGTGTAGTCGCTGCCCAACCCACATGGTATTACCGAGCCGATGTAATACTGTCCAGCCCACATGGTACCACTCACTCCACATAGCATGATCGGCCCCGTGTAGTACCACCCGGCGCGCATGGTATTCACCCACGCCGCATAGCACCCATATGGGTTGACCTGCGAGAACATGGAAAGATGAACCGCCATGTCAGGCACGCCACTGAACGCCGCTTGGTAGTGCCTGGTCGGGCAAAGGAACGAACTGTCCCTGATGTCCACCATGTGTTTCTTTCTTCCCTCATGATCCTCACCGCGTCTGCGGCGGGCATCGGCTTGTTTTTTTCAAAGGCCAGTGACCTTGCGCTATCGTCATGGCACTAACCGGCCCCAGGTGATTCAGAGTGATTCCACTCATTTTGTCTCCATCACAATTCAAGCTCAGGTTTGTTTATAAAGAGGTACATGGGTGTGTCATTCAACTACATGGGGTGGGTGTGTTAGAAGAAGTAAACAGCTGTATGAGTTTACCCTTTTAGTGTTTTACTATTCATGGAGTCACTCATGGACAAACTCGATCCTTCTCCGGGAAAGGTCATATACTTCAGTGGATTCAGAGAATTTCAGAGAGTTTTTTTTCTGCACTTTTATGAATCTTATCCATAACGATCAGTGGCGAGGTGAGAAATAGACCCCACTGATGGCGTCCGGCTGAGTTGCATACATCACATGCATGGACAGCGAATCGACTGAGTTGCCTCCAGCAATGCCGGCTATCACACTAGTCGTCAGGCGTCACATTGGTTGTCTTGCTGTACACAAGGAGGAAATTATCATCGACTTGGTGAATTGAGCTGAATTCGCAGAAGCAGGAAATGCACTGAAAGTTTCCATGCCCTGTCCCTCAAGCTGGGTGCCCGCCCTCCAGCCGTTTGTGCCTTATGGTGTCTTGACCTCCTCTGTCTGATACTCATGCCATTGCGGCGGTTACGACGAATGTTGTTGCGGTGCAGGACTTGGTGATTTGCATGGGTTCATGGACAAGATTCAGGATGTGATTCCAGCAGACCAACAACCAGAACTTCTTCAGAAGCTGACAGAGGGACAGTTTACGCTTCGAATTATGTATGAGCAATTCCAAAACATCCTGAAGATGGGACCACTTAGCCAGGTATTTATTTTATATATTAAAATTTATTTGCCCTTTGAAAAAGGGAAGTGGCCTTCAGATAGGGCAAACAAACAATGTTATAAAAAACATGCCGCGTATTCTTCACCACCGTAGTTCTTCAGCAGCCTGACCTTTAATTACCCTCTCTTCCTGACCCTGGCCTGCACCACTGCTGTCTGTGCCCAGGAAATCGTCTAATGTTCATCTTGGTGGGGTTTGATTTGTTGTTGTCATGCTGCACAAAATAGAAGCCGCAACTTCCACGAGGACATACAAAGTGACAAACTGATCCTTAACCACCAGTACTCGAGGCACGTTTCTCCGACCCTGGAAATGCTCTGCGCGTGTGGCATACTGGGTAGCCACACGGGCCCTGTAGGACCCGTCCCGGACATTCAGCCTAAAAGCCTAAAACTTAGGATCTACAGGCCCCGGTCGTTCAGCCTGAAAACTGAAAAACGAGGGTCTGCAGGCCCTACTCCGTTTCAGCCTATTTCTGGGTCTTTCAGACCCAGAGTTTTTCCAGCCTGAAACGGAGGGCTATTCTTAGGCCCTGGGCTATTTTTAGGCCCTCATTTGTTTCGACCTGCCCTAAGATTCAGGCNCAGCCCCTGCCTCCCTGCGGCATTATTGGCAAGAGCACGAGCAGGAGCTGCAGCTGCAGCCCCTGCCTCCCTTCTGCATTATTGGCAAGAGCACGAGCAGGAGCTGCAGCTGCAGCCCCTGCCTCCCTTCAGCATTATTGGCAAGAGCAGCCTCTTGGACTGCTCGCCCAAGTCAGGAGGCACCCGTGATAGTATATAGGAGCTTCAGGCACTACACGGGGAGGCGGTTGGAGAGCAGGACGGTAGGCTTCAGATTTCGGCCGCAGCACTCAGGAGGAGCGCTGCAGTAGTCTTCAGCGCTAGGCAGTAGTAGCGCTAGCTGTAGTCTTCGGCGCTGGGCGCCCATAGCCATAGCTGTAGTCTTCAGCGCTGGGCGCTAGTAGGTGGTAGTAGTTGCAGTGGAGGGAGATGGCTGGCGGAGGCCAGCGGTACTTACCTGTGGCGCCATAGCTCCAGCTCCATCTTCGAGGTACCTGCATCAAGGCGCCAACTTCACAGGTTAGTACTGGACACAGAGAGAGAGAGAGAGAGAATTCTTCTTCTTCCTCCTCTATGTCCACCATCTCTTCTTCCCCTCTCACCACCTGACTTCTCAGTATCAGCAGACTACTACAGAGAGAGAGAGAGTTGTGACTTGAGACTTGACGACATTGGATCCAGACTCGACCTTTGGGATTCAGACATTTCGACGAGGGACTATTTGGGCCTGTGCTGAACACTTGGTGTTGACGACATTCCCATCTTCCCCTCTTCTTCGTCTAACCCCCATCTCCTTCGTCTGTGTATGGTTGGGGCTGGCGCAGTCTTCCTGTGTGAAGCGCCAGACCCCTTCACACCATGGAATGAGGATGATGATGTATGTTTGGGGCTGCATTGCAATATTGCTTGTTCGGATCATTGGTATCTAAGTCTTCCGCTGTGCTATTTTATACTTTGTATTGAAAGGTCGGTTCTTGTTCTGGTCTGCACCTATACGGTATGCAACAGCGCGCCAAAGAAATACGAACCCGCGCAGCCTTCTTTTGGCTGGCGCCGCCAGCCATTTTGCTCCGGAGGCCAAGTCATGAAAGTTGCGGTGTGTTACAGTGAAATGCCTGCGGCCGATGTATGGGCCAAGTACTGGTGGTTTAATGTCTCTGGCACCCTCGCCCAGGAAGCGGGACCAAAGAATGTGTCCCGCACTTGAGGCCGTCAGCGTAAGCGGTCTGGAGCTTGAGATCCAGCGTCCAGGTGGCTGGTTGCCTCAGTGGAATATTCCCTCTGGTGGAATGTCTGAAAACCTGCGTGGGTGGACGGACGTGGTACCGTGAGCTGTTGCTGCAGACCCAAAAAAAAAGGTCCAGTTCTGAAATAGACGAAAACAGGTCCGGCCGTCAACGGGCACCATTGGAACAGGAACACTTGCAGAAAGGTACACAGGACAGAATTATGCCAATCAATGTTCGAACAACCAGAATGGACGGTCCATCTGCAATAATAACACCAATTTACCAGAAATAGAGAAAATAATAAAATATAAGGAAGGGAATGAAGACACAACACGGTTCTTTTCTATTTCCACCTACTGACTCTCTATGACTCATTCACAGCAGTGTTGATTTCGTATCACAAATGTGTGCACTGGAAGATTCTTTTAACTACTAGGCTATTGTCAGTTTTGGTCTGCGCCGTCTGTTCATTTAAATTTTAAACGGAAGGAGCTGTGCTTCCTCCTCTTGTTCTCCTTTACTATGTGCTTGTTTGCTCGTCTCGGCTCCCGAATCCTTTCTTTTTTTCCTTTTTTTTTCTGTCCGTTCCTGAATCTATTTTGTGGAACCTGCTGTTTTCCCGAACCTGGAGTTGCCGAGCCTCCGTCACTGGTGTTTCTGAACCTCTGCTATGCGGCATTTCAAACCGCCGTTACGCGGGTTTCTAAACCTCTGTTACGCGGGTTTTCGAACCTCCGTTATGCCGCAGGTTTTCGAATCTCTGTTACGCAGGTTTTTGAACCTCGGATTTTTGAACCTCTGTTACGCGGGTTTGCGAAGCTCTGTTACGCGGGTTTCCGAAGCTCTGTCATTAGGTCACACTGTGATCTCCACCGGGTGAAGGCATCGTAAATCAACAGCAGAGGTCGGCTGACAAAAACATGTTTCTGCCCCCTCTGAATGCTGCCAATGGTCCAACCTGAAGTGGTGGGGCTTGCCGGGGGGTAATGATGGCATGGGTTCTCTTCCTGTTGATCTGATGTCTGCTTGCTCGGATTGCAGGTAATGTCTATGATCCCTGGGTTTAGCACAGAGCTGATGCCCAAAGGACGCGAGAAGGAAAGCGTGGCCAAGATCAAGAAGTTCATGTGTATGATGGACAGCATGACAGACGACGGTAATCGCTCCTCCCATGCAAACCCGCTTCTACTTTGTCCTGGAGTCTCCGACCCGCAGTCATTACACCCTCTCAATGCCGTTGGCATCCTGCGCCCTCTGACGGCAACAGCTCGTATCCCTAGCTGGAAAGGCCGTCGTCTTTGCCACTATCACTTTTGAAGTATGTACTTTATGATCTCTGCAGGAAGTTGTCTGGAGGGCCTCCTCATGTTTCCTCGTAGAGCACACGTCCTGCACTTGCTTTAATACTGTGCTGTTTCAGTTTTCTGTAGAAGAAATGACACACTGTGCGCTCCTCTGTGACAACCCCTGTTCTGTCATCCTACAATGACATCACTTCCCAACAGCTTCTTCTTCTTCTTCTTCTTCTTCTTCTTCTTCTTCTTCTTCTTCTTCTTCTTCTTCTTCTTTGTTGTTGCTGTTGTTGTTGTTGTTGTTGTTGTTGTTGTTGTTGTTGTTGTTGTTGTTGGTGGTGGTGGTGGTGGTGGTGATGGCGTCTTCCTTGTTGTCGATGTCATTGGTGTATTCGTTGTCGTTGTTGCCGTTGTTTTTTGTTGTTGTTTGTTGTTATTATTGATGTCGTCGTTGCCGATGTTAACATTGGTGTTGTTGTTGTCTGTAGTTGTTTGTAGTTGTCGCGGTCTTTGTTGTTGTTGATGATGATGATGGTTGTGTTTGTTGTTGTCGCGGTCATTGTTGGTGCTGCCGTTGCTGACTTTTCTGTTATCAGTATTGCTTTTCATCGTTTTGCTTTTCTATTGCAATGTATCATTGATATGAAGTACTGCCAGTTGCACCTCTTCGATAACTACTCCATAGTTTTTTTTTCGTGATGTTGTTGAAGGTGGGAAAAACGAAGAGGTCGTTGGCTGGCTAGATGGTGTTTCTGTATTGTGGGTATGTATGTAGTTTGCAAACTGAGCGCGAGAGCTGGAGGCCAGTCGCAGACTTGAGATTCTATCTGTTGTGTTAAAAAAGTGTGTGAACGAATGGAAGCTAATGACTAAAGATTGGCACAATGGCTTCTTGAACAAATTACTGCTGCTTTTCCAATTCCAGCTATACCTTAGGAGAACGAACTTAGACGCCTCTCTCTCTTTTGCAGCACAGAGAATCCTCTCTCTCTCTCTCTCTCTCTCTCTCTCTCTCTCTCTCTCTCTCTCTCTCTCTCTTGTTCTTTGCTCTTTTGTCCTTGGTGCACGAGAGAGTTCTTCGACGATTGTTTCTGCCTCCCCCCCCCCCCCCCCCCCGTTCTCTCTCTCTCTCTTGGTCTGTGCTCTTTTATCCTTGGTGCATGAGAGAGTCCTCTTCAATTGTTTCTGCATACATGTCCTTCGCCTTTCTTGCTGCTGGATTGATTTCTTTTTGTTGTTTTTTCATACAGTCTGATCCTGGCAGGATTTGAACTTGTGATGATCTGTTCGTGAACAGTTACGTGTGTGCACCATTCAGCCACACAGACTGGCTTCCGGTGCTCGATTTGTGCTTACGTCGTCCGATCGACTTTCCACATGTTTGTTTTTTGAGTTGGCCCATGTTCTGTGTTTGTTTCCTGCACCTACCCTTTTTACGTCTTTCCTTATTGTTTCAATGGTTAAGATATTCGACTGATTTGGTTGCAGATTTGGTTGTACACACGCTCGTTCATTTGTGACAGACCCTGGTTGCATCCTCAGGGCATATTCACAATGGGACATTTTCCACCTAGCTTTGGCCGTACTTGCAGTCGGATACATCAAGGCCCAACAACCCTAATTGCAGTCGGATACATCAAGGCCCAACAACCCTAATTGCAGTCGGATACATCAAGGCCCAACCCTAATTGCGTGTGAAGTAGATCTAGCGATGTCCTTGTGTGTGTATGTCCTGAGAGTAGAACATAAAGAGCAGCTTCTGGAAACATCCTTGCACTATTGAAATCGATTTTAAGATACAAATCTTGAATCCAGGTCGTCATCGGTCCTACCGGCCCACGGGCCAGATCGACTGAAGAATGTAACAAATCTGTGATCTGGGCCGTCTGGATCGGCGCGCCCGTAAGATCTCAAGACCGTGCCAAAATCAAGGCCGTCGGTCTGGTAGGGGCCGGCGGCCGAGAATGGGCCCCACACCTTTATCTGTATCAACTGGTTGGTATCAATAATCTTTAAAAAGTTAAATAAAAAAACATAAACTTAAAAATTTCTGATTAAAAAATCATAAAAAGTAAAACCATATAAGTTGCCAGAGCGGCCCGGGGCCACTTGCCCGGCCGGGCCAAAAAAAAATAAAATAATAATAAAAAATATATATATTTTGGAACTTTATTCTTTATTTTGAATATGGTAAAGAATGTCGATGTGACCCTGAGGCAAAAGC